TGTCATCAGCTGTACCCTGGCAGCTCAGCATGGTGGCTTCAGCTGGCCCCTGCCACCAGAGAGAGCTTCAGGGAGCTGTAGAGAACATTTCGTACTAGGAATAAATGCCACACTCTTTATTATCTGTGACCATAAATCTTTTGCATCTGGTCCTTCACTGTGAAAGAATATCCAGTTGCCTAAAAAGCAGCTGCTGTCATTTATTTCCCAGAGGATTTTCAGTAGATCTTTCAAAGATCTATAATTTTATCCATGTTTTACATGACGATACCAGAAGCATGTAAAAGACTCAAAGCTAGAAAGAGAGCAGACAGTCAGTATGAAGCTCAAGGACGTGACTTGACCTTGCAACAATGGACCCAAACCAAATTGATGACATTTATCAGGAATAAATGTAAAAGTCTGCTGCTAAGTTCAACTAGTCACTTCCTCAAGTGCATGATGAGGAATTGGCAGGGATTCAAGGCAAAAAGGCTGAGTGAATGAGTGTGTGAGTCAACAGAATAACACAGAGAGGACCCCGCGTCTGTATCTGTAGCTCTCAACATCAGCTGCTCAGCAGAATCACCTGGAACCTTTACAAAGTCTTGATAGCCAGGCAGAACCCCAGACCAGTCATATTAGAATTTCTGAGAGGTTGGACCTAAAGCTTCCCCGATGATTCCCGTGTGTAGCCAGGGTCGAGAATGCTTGTCCTAGACTGCCTCACGAAAGCGGCCAGAGCACAAAAGATGCTCAGGGCTCCTTCAGAACACTAGGCGCAATTCTGAGTTTCACTTTTGAAATGGAATAGAGAATGCATTCCATTAAAAAAAAAAAGTTGTTGAAACTATGGGCATTTGTCCTAGAAGAGAGAAGATTCTAGAAAATCTGATGGCTCTGTTTAGTCTGGTCATGTGAAAAGGGAGTAAGTGTCTTCTTAGTTGTATCAGAGAACAGAATCTAAACAGTGAATTTCCAAAGAGGCACATCGTGTCTAAATATAGAGAAGGATTCCCTAGCACTAACACTTGGCAATGAGAGGCTGCCTTAGGAGGTAATGAGTTCCTCCACCTTGGGGTTTCTTGAGCAGAGGTGGACTATTTCTAGAAGGCATTTATCTGTTGGAAACCCCAAACCTGGCACTGCAACACGGTCACCTGGGATTGGGGATGGGGGAGTTTTGAAAAAATAGAGATTGCTAGGCCCCATCCAGCCCTCCTGAATCAGAACACTGGGAGGAGTCCCAGACGTGTGTATTTCTAAAGTGCTTCTTGAGATGACTGTGATGAATACCTTTTCCGGAACAACTGATACGGAGCTCCTGTGACAAACCTAAGATTCTATGATTCTCTGAGTTGCATTTTGGTTATAACTCTTGTTTCTTCTACAAGCAGTGAATGCATGCACAGGTGGGTGGGGGAGCGAGCGAGCTAGCTCAAGTATAAGGCTTTGCCCGCTGGGGGCTTGTGGTCTCCGGAGCAGAAAGGCATGGAAAAGAAGGAGGGCCGGGCCCTGTCATGGATGAGTGAGCCATGTCCATTGTGGGCATGGGGCATCACTGGCCAGTTCTGCCTTGACGTCTGGGCCATTGATGCCTGCACGGCATAGGCAGCCTGTGTGAATGAATATATTTAAGGAAAAGAATGGAACGCAGGGAGGTTCGTTAAGAAAGGAGTTCACACCGAGTTCTGGACCGCCAGGCCAGATGGAAGTAGATGTGTATGCATGTATGTGTCTATTCAGTCTGGGGTATGGGAAACCCGGCTGGCCCGTGCCGAGGGGGATGGCTGTGTTCTGACTGTGTCCACGCTCCCGGCCACACCACCACCGGACATCTCTGGCTGCCTCTGGCCCTTGTGGAGCTACACTGTGTCATCTGTAGTATGTGCACCTCATAGGCCTGTTACATGGACAAAATGAGACAGTATTTGTGAAGGGCTTAGCCTTCTGTCCCATTCGCAGAAGGTGGGAGAGGAGCTGATCTTTCTTTATATTGTTTATTTTGAAATAACTTTAGATTTAGAAAAAAGTTGCCACGACAGTAGGGTTTCTGCCCTCATGTCAGCTTCTTCCATCACTGGGCACGTCTGTCAGCTAGGAAACTAACGTGGCTAAGTTACCATCAGCTAAACTCCAGGCTTTATTCGGTGATACTCTTTAAATTACTACTGTTAATGGAAAGAAATCTAAAGTTTACTATGCACCTAAAATTGCCTCAAATTTGGTACTTAAATGACACGGCCACCATGGTTTTACATGAGGCAGTGCTATGCTTCCATCAGCAGTGGGAAGTCTTAAGGCAGAAAAGTTACCAGGAATTTCCCTGAATGAGGAGGCTTGAACCCCTGCTCAGTGAACACACCTGCCCGCATCCAAATGTTTAGTCCTCCTGAGTAAACCCACCTGATGAGGGGATGGGCTATTTCAGCCTGGCCAAAGCCCAGGTGACCCTGTTTCTTCAAAAACCAGAAAACAGGTTTGGTGACTTCTGAAAACAAGAAGAAAGCCTTTCTTTTTGAAAGCCAGGATATTTTGCCCAGCTGTTCAAATGCACTCAGAGAAAGCCTCTTACAACCTTTGGCTGTCGGAGCTGTGTCCCAAATTCCAGCCCCGAAAGGCCTGGCAGGCAGAGTGAACACCAGCCGACTCGCTCCCCAGACCTGGATTCTCTAGCACGATGCACCTCGGTAGACTGTGCCCCGTGCAACATCAGCCTGCAGGGAGCTGGGGTCTGGGCAAGAGGCCTGCAGAGAGGCATGTGGGATCGGCTGTGGGCACACACAGTTCTCAAGAAGGGTCTGCTGCATTTATTAGAAGCTTGGCAGCAGATTCACTTGGAAGGGGTGCAGAAGTCTAGCCGGGAGGGGTGGGGAGACCGGAGGTTGAGATGTCGCCGAGCAGACAAGTCGGGCCCACGGGACCAAGGAAAAGGCCAGGGGGAAGCCCCGAGAACTTTGATCCTGGTTACGTGGGAGGATGCTCACAAAATTAGGAAGCCGTAAGAAGAAAGGAAGAAGCACATATAATGGAGGGAAGCTGAGTTTGCTCTGGGTCACATCAGCTTTGAGGGGTCAGTAATGAAGTCCTTCCGGCAGTTGGAAACGCAGGTCTCAGGCTTGGGAAAGAAATCCGGTGCAGTGATGTAGATATGGGAGTTACCCACAAGAAGAATCCTGTCCTGTAAGAAACAACAGTGAGGCAGAGGAGAGCCAGGGACAGAATCGTGCCAAATACACCTTATTGTCAACTTTCCATAAACGTGTAGCTCATGGCAGAGCAAGAGCCAGCAGAGGAAATGGAAGAAGCCACGAGGGGTGAGCAGGGGTGGAGCGTCCCCGAGGAGAGCATGTCTGAAGAGTGGCAGGACGACGTGCAGAGAAGATTGAGGCAGGGTCCCTGGGGTGTGGGGGCAGGAGCAGGCTCGGACCCTAGGGGGTTGAGAGACAGGAGGGTGTCCGTCTGGAGCAGAAAGGAAGCTCCTCTCTCAGGAGGACTGTGATCAGGGATTTCACCCGTGGAGCGGTGTTGTCCTGCCAGGATGCTCCAGGGGCTGAAGAGGAGTGGGGGGTGACCGTGTGGGTGAGACCGTGATTTGCAGCCCTCCCCCGGAGTACACATCTTCATAGTAGCTTCACGGTGAGCAATCCTAAAACAAAAAAATGAGTAATAAATCTTTTCATCCTACCCACTCTTTGAAGCTGGTCATCCTTAAAATCATAGGAATTCCTCAAAAAATTAAATCTAGATTTCCCATGGCACCCAACAGTGTCCAATCCTAGCTGTATGCTCAGAAGAATTGAGAGAAACGGACCCAGACAGATACTTCTACACCCACACTCATAGCATCGTTATTCACGGGAGCCAAAAGGTTTGGTTTGGAAGGAACCCCGTGCCCTCTGATGCGTGAATCATTAATGGATAAACAAAATGTGGTACATCGTACAATGGAATAATATCCTTAAAAAGGAAGGGGATGCTAGGGGTGCCTGAGTGGTTTAGTCAGGTAAGCATCTGACTTTTTTTTTTGTTTCAGCTCAGGTCATGATCTTGAGGTTTGTGAGTTCAAGCCCCGTGCCGGGCTCCAAACTGACAGCACGGAGCCTGCTTGGGATCTTCTCACTCCCCCGCACTTTCTCTCTCTCTCTCTCTCTCTCTCTCTCCCTCACACTAAATAAACTTTAGAAAGGAAGGATATTCTGATACATGCTACAACACAGATGCACCTTAAAGACATGCTAAATGAAATAAAAACCCAGTGTACAATTCCACTCATGAGCTACTTAGGGCAATCAGATTCAGAGAGAGAGAAAATAAAACGGAGGTTGCCAACGCCTGGGGTTGAGGAAACAGCTAGTGTTCGGCTGTCCAGAGTTGAGCAAGATGAAATGTGGGGATGGGGGCGCCTGGGTGGCTCAAGTCGGTTGAGCAGCCGACTTCAGCCCGTCTTGATCTCACGGTTTGTGAGTTCGAGCCCCACATCAGGCTCTGTGCTGACAGCTCAGAGCCTGGAGCTGCTTCGGATTCTGTGTCTCCCTCTCTCTCTGCTCCTCCCCCACTCATGCTCGAGCAGTGCCTTTTCGAGGTGCCTTTTCCTGGGAATGCAGACCGCACGGTGCGCACATTCCGCTTTCTACCATGTTCCTCATTCTTGGAGCCTCTTTCATTTCCCATTATTGTTTCCCCATATCGCCCAGCTGCTCCGTGAGGTCGACGGGGCTCCCGATTAAAGCCATGGGAGGTGAAAACAGACTCATTACCTTTTTAAGTGACCCAGAAGGGGATGCGGTTGGCGATCATGCCAGTCAGCTGGATGCCGTGGTTCTCCCCTGACGTGGAGGCCTGCGGTGGTTAAGCTCCTTGCTTCTCTGGCCTGGTTTGAATTTGGGACCGTGTTGGGAAATGCTAGAAAGGAGCCCTGAGGTTGGACAGCCTGTGTCCTGAGCTCATCACACACCTGAGTGCGTCCTGTACGCAGGGCGGGCAGGGACCCTGCACCTCCCTCCACTCCCCAGAAACGTACCTCAACGACAGGCAATTTCTCCCAGCGTCCTCTCCCCTTGTGGTGGATGCAGGCCTTCGAACCTGGCATGAGCACACGTTCCATGTGGGTGTGCACACACACATCCACGTCTGCCCTCCTGTCCTCTGTGCGCGTCAGCCCCTCCACACCTCCCCCCACCCGAAGTAGACATCTGTAGGCTGTTTCCCACGTGTACATAAGGAAGGGATCTGATTTCTATGTCATTTCCCAAGATAAGGCTGACTGCAGACCACGCCTGCAGTTATCTTATGGGGTAATAATGACCGTCCCCCAAGTGTTGTTCACAATTGCCTAATCCTTACCAGACCAGTCCCATGGGGAGGTCTCCTGTCTTCACCGTAGGACATTAGTATTACTAGAGTCCGTGAAAACTGTTTTCCTTCTTCTAGAGCAAAATCAGCTGCCGTGCCTTTTCTTGTGGAACATTCTTGTGTGATGTATCCCACTGCCTCCCAGGGTCCCTGCAGCGACGAGTTTGGTTGTGAGCAGGAAGTCTGGGTTACAACCGTGTGTCAGGAATCCTGAGAGGCTTTACTCCAGCACAGTCCACCTGGCATCTCAGTTCCTCATGCACCTGCCTTAGCGCTTGGTCAGTCGTTTCTGTGCCACTTAGTCTAGACTGGAGCTCGGGAATGGTGTTGGCTTGGTTGAATGCCTCATTGTTTGTTTGTCAACTGCTTCATAACTGGTTAAGGCTCATTTTTATTGTGGTTTCAAATCCTTTTTGTGCCTCATCTTCCGCAATGACTTTGAGATGGTTTACAGATGGAAAACAATGTAAGAAAAGGATAAAGACCTATAAAGCCGCACTGTCCAATATGGCAGCTACTAGCCACTTAATCTCAATTTAAAATAATCAAGGGGTTCCTGGGTGGGTCAGTTGGTTAAGTGTCCCTCCGACTCTTGATTTTGGCTCAGGTTGTGGTCTCACAGTGAGTTTGAGCCCCGCATTGGGCTCTGTGCTGACAGCATGGAGCCTGCTTGGGAGTCTCTCCCTCTCTCACTGCCCCCTGCCCTACTCGCGCTCTCTCTCTCTCTCTCTCTCTCTCTCTCTCTCAAAATAAATAAACAGATTTGAATAATATAATAAATTAAAGATTCATTTTCTCAGTAACACTGGCCACATTTCAAGGCTCATTAGCCACATGTGGCTAGTGGCTATCATATTGGATGGCAGATATAAAACACGTCTTCGTCATCACAGGAAAATATCTTTTGGACAATATTGGTCTAAAAATGAAGAAGAAATAGTACACATTACTATAAGAAACACAGGCCCTTGGACACAAGTTGCTGAAAATATCTATAAAACAAATGCATGAAAATGCCTTGGTTTGGTTCACGGTAAATCTCGAGTAATAAGTTCATTTAGGTCATGTCTCCAAGGGTCAAGGATTGATCTTTTGTAAAGCAGAAGGGTGTCTGGCAAATGCGGATGGACAGTGCTTTTACAAAGTCTGATTCACATGCAGAGTCGTGGCATTAATATTAATAATCAAGTACCATTAATGCGCATTTACTGTGCGTAGACTCTTGAGACACCTGGTACTGTTGTAAAGTTGGTGTTATTGATAAAAATTAAAATGACCACCAGGATTTTCCCATTCGATCTTCAAAACCAGGTTGACCGACCCTTGGCCAGATCTGGCCTGCTACCTGTTCCTGCTAATAAAGTTTTTTTTGGAACATAGCCACACGCGTTTTTTTTGTTTTTTTTGTTTTTTACCCATTGTCTATGGCTGCCTTTCACAGGTGAATACTCATGACACAGACTGTGTGGCCTGAAAAGCCTATGGTATTTACTATTTGGCCCTTTATTAAAACTTGTTGATCCTTGTTGAAAAACACTTCCCTAGGTGTAGGTGTTACTCCCATTGTATGATTGGGAACATAAGGCCCAGAGAGGTGAGACCCCCCGACATACAACCCATAAGTGACAGAGGTACAGCTTGAACTTGGGTCTGAGCTGATCCTCAGCTTGTGGCTTTGCAGCTGTGTTGTTGAGGCACAAGACTTTACACCTGGAAAGTGGCTGAGAGTGCATCTGCCGTGGATTCCTCATTCTCTCTCTCTTTCTTTAATGTTTATTTATTTATTTAGAGAGTGCCTGAGCAGGGGGGCAGGGCAGAGAGAGAGAGAGAGAGAGGGAGAGAGAATCCTAAGCAGGCTCTGCACAGTCCGCACAGAGCCTGATGTGGGACTTGATCTCACAAACCATGAGATTACCACCTGAGCTGAAATTGAGAGTCAGTCACTTACCCAGCTGAGCCACCCAGGCGCCCCAGATTCCTCATTCGTCACAGGAGAAAAGGAGAGTGTGGCTTGCCCTGGGCCACACAGCAGGAACCCGGCAGAGCCCCAGCCAGCACCTGTGCCCCCAACCCTTGCACCCTTTCTCTCTGCTCCTGGCTTTGGGATGTCAGCTGTGCTCACCGAGAGGTCCTTCTGCTCCGGCCACCCTCCTGTGCTGTTCTCTCAAAAGGGGCAGGAAGTACATGGCATCTGGCCAACACTGGCCCTGTGATGGCTTTGTCTACAGGAATATCACCTGTAGGGCTCAAATCTGAGAAAATGGATTCAGATTTTTTTCTAATCCACCAAGAGACTATTTAATGGTGAAGTGGCCACCACTGAGATGGTAATATCCGAGGTGACTCCTGTGGAATTTAGCTGTGTCGCAGCATATCCTCGGAGCCTCTCTGTCCGCTCCCAAGGGATTGCAACAGAAACAACAGCAAGGCTCCTTCCAAGCCCTTATACACTTTGTTCCGTCCGCACGGCGCAAAGAGGCAGGTTCGGATGAGGGGACTCAGCCTCCGTCAATAGGGTGGATGGACAGCCTGCCCAGGTGGGAGAGTTAATGCTGGACTTGAACCCAGGCAGCATGACCTCCAGGTCCTGTCCTCCATATCTTACTCAACCGCCTCTTAACCTTGTCCTTGGATTTGCTGACAGGGCCTTCTGCCCCCTCCCTGTGGAATTTCTCAGGGGCCTTAGTTTCACACCAAATGTGCTATTTACCGAGGGAACAAGAGGAGGAAGGAGAGTAGACCTTCCTCCACAGGCTACCTTTTCTCAAACCACATGGGCTGTCGGGCATGGTTCTCTTCAACAAGCGTAAACTGCTAACTGCCTCCTTTTTCCTGTTTGGGTCTCAGGGAAGCTTTTCTATTTGCTTGCTCATTAACATGTATATGTGACGTGCTAGGAACTTTTGAGGACCCGTATTTCACTACTCCCCGTGGTGTCTGGGAAATCTTGAGCGGTGGTGTTTTTGGCTCTGGCTGAATCGGACACAAGGTGGGTACACGGCTATGGGACCCTAGAGCAGAGAGCATCATCCGTGGTATCTCCTTCGCTCTGGTTTAGGCCAACAGAGATGCTAAGACCATTACTATCTGAGACGAGGCTCCTTCTGTATGTTACCGTCAGGAGGACTTTATTTTATCTCTTTGATTGAAAAAAAAAGAATAGAGGTCACTTGCCGATTTTGTTGGTGAGAGTTTTGGCTAACGTGAACTGAACATTCCCTGTGTTCCAGACACTGTTAAATGCTGCTCGTGTATCATGTCTTTTAATATTTACAAGCACATCATTAGGTAGATACTGTTGTTATCGCCTTACCTCACAGGTGAGGAAATGAGGCACAGAGAGGGTGAGTTGCTTGGCAGATGTCACACAGCTGGTTAAGGGCACGACTGGATTTTGAAACCAGCTGGTCTGCTGTCACTATGCCTTTAGCACCAGAGGCTTGAGGCGTAACGTTTAGAGGGGAAGAACTCCAAAGAAGCTGGTTCGTTGCTGTTCACTTGTAACTAACCTGAGAACAACTTCTGGCCCCCGGGAAACCCCAGCCCCAGGCATGATCTGAAATAGCCCCTGCCTGCCCCCCTGTGCTGCTCATGCTGTTCAGGCTGTTCCTGGCCACACACATGCGCGTGCACACACACACACACACACACACACACACACACGTGCACACGTGATGGGGTAGAGATGTGACACACTCTTTTCCTTCCCAGTCACGCATTTGGGGCTCTCGTGGCAGGGCCATCTCTCCACTTCAGAACCTTGAGCTGGGTGTGTGTGAATCGTCATGTCCACAGACTTGGACAAATATTTATTGCGTCCCTATTATAAATCAGTTATTCTCCTCAATGTTCAGTGAACAAAACACGACACAGTTATCACTCTCCTAGAGCTTGTATTCTGGTTTCATCCTTCGCTCTGTTCTGTGTCAAGGAGGCAGCCAGACCAGCCGGATAAGATTTGAAAGGGGTATCCTTGGGGGGGGGGTACTTAAGAGCGCCTGCTCTCTTTCCTACTTAGGCCAAGCCAAGAGATCAGGGGGCCTCTGACCCTTTTCTCAGAACAGAAATCCCTGTCCATATTCTAGAGGTGTTAAAAATGATAGCTTTAAGACTGGCCACATTGCTATGAGAAAGCACCTTGTGGGGCACCTGGGTGGCTCGGTTGAGCGACCGACTTCAGCTCAGGTCATGATCTCACGGTTTGTGAGTTCAAGCCCTGCGTCGGGCTCTCTGCTGACAGCTCGTGGCCTGGAGCCCTGTTTCAGGTTCTGTGTCTCCCTCTCTCTCTACGCCTCCCCCTCTCATGCTCTGTGTCTCTCTGTCTCAGAAATAAATAAACATTAAAAAAATTTTTTAATTAAATAATAAAAAAAAGAAAGCACTTTGCATTTCTACAACATCTTACAAAACACTGTCTGTTAAGTTGTCTCATTTGACAAAACAATCTTGTTGCCTTATGCCCATCTTCCACCCCACCCCCCATGGAAAATGAGCTCTGAAAGTTGGTTGGTATAAAACCAGGTAGGACTACACCCCATTTCTTGCTTTCCCTGGAGCCCATGAACCTGGGGTCAGGGAGGTAGCTGTAAACGTGTCCTCTTTCTATCTAGAACGATGCTGTCAAGTAGCACTTTCGGCAGTGATGGAAATACTCTGTGTCTGCGTCGTTCAGTAATAGCCACTGGCCGCATGTGGCTGGTGAACACTTCACATAGGGCTCGTATGGGTGAGGAATTGGATTTTAAAAGTTCATTTTAAGCGGAGTTAAGATGGAAGCAGCCATATGTGGATACTATACTGGATGGCACAGTTTTAGAGGCTCTAAAGGGGAAAGGACTCTGGAGTGGAAGATAGGAGAATGCAGCCTTCCTTTCCAGTCATGCGTGAGTGTCACAGCACCTGACGTTCCTCTCCATCCACTTCCCTGGAATTCAGAATCTTCGAGATCGTTGTCAAAAGGCAAGACTTGGGGTGGTTCTCTGAGCGCCGCCCCCCGACCCTTCAGCAAAATCAGGCTACTTCCTGTGTGTCACAGCTTTAGTTTGACGATTTTCATTGGTTTAAAAAAATAAGACCATGCAAAAAGTGTTTAAAACCATTGCTGTCAAGGTAAACAGCAGTGAAACTCATTGGAGACAAGGCAGTGTGGTCTACCTAGAAAACAGCCTGGAAGCATAGGCAATGGAGGAAAGTTTTGAAAAATTAGCATAAACAATGGAAAAGAATTTATGGGGTATACCTGTATACCATGGCAGGGGGGTCACTTACACACTTACTTATATAAATTTAAGTTTAAAATTTTATGTTTGATTCAAAGCCAAGAAAGACTACAAGGACACTGAATTCATTATATTCTGCCCCAGCTGGCTTTCCACTGTCCACCCAGGGTTCCAGGGACAATGCTGTTGGTGACTGTTTCCTGTTAACCCATGAGTA